AAGATCATCTTCTAAGGCAAACAGCAGAGGTAGAAAATTTAACCAGCAGAGATCAATGAGTGCAGAATGGAGATGGGGACTGAATAGTAGAAATGGGGCAAACGTTCCAGACTGTTAATGAAAGAGGGTGAGATAAAGAGACAGAGGTCCCGCAGGATAGCTGCTGGTTTACCAGAGCCAGGGCCACAGCAAAGACCCACAAAAATGCTCCACATTTGATCAGATTACTGTTTGATCCAAAAGGGCTTTCTCCCTTAAGAGCTCCCCTCCACTTTACAATAAGTGCACACACTCATCACGCCATAGCTTGTGTTCATCAACGCTGCTTAACTGCATGGCTTCTAACTACATCAACATCACCAGCATGACCTCACATCACTTCACACTCAGCCTAATGCTGAATGAACAGGGGGTAGGAAAGCATGCCAGTGGTGATCAGCTGTCACCCAGTCTATAGGTTATGCAGGATGAGATGTTTCTGATTAAAAAAATAAATAAAAAATCCAATGAGCTACAGAGGGAAAAAAAACTTGAAAACTGTGGGAAGAAAAATAGACTTCTTACATCAAAAAATTAAAATACTTTAAAAAGCAGGGATAAGTTTATTTCAAAAAAGACTACCTTAAAGACTGCTTTAAAGAGCTACTCTAACATCTCAGCAAATTGTATTATTTAAGCCTTTAAAATGAACAAGAGTAACATATTTTGTAAGCACTGTTATTTTATTATAAAGTAATCTTGTTGGTCTTAAAAGCAAAAAAAACAACAACAAAACAATAAACTATGAAACCTGCTAGGCACGGTGGAGGAAGTACCGTTTGTTCTGTTATTATGTATTTTGTCCAATCCAGGTAGATCCATGTGAAATTGTTGTTTTAATCCGCTTTTCTTAAGGCTACCAATTATGAGTAAAAGTATTGTTAGCATTTCACAAAAACCCTAAGGTTTCTAAAAGACTAATGATGTTTTGCCAATATTTTAGGATGTCAAAAATATTATTACACTACCAAAAATCTCAACGTCTAGTTTGCAAATTACTGTTTTTCTTCACATAGCAAAGGATTTTTCATTCCTTTGCAATACTTATTTCTTTTTTTTTCTTTTATTTCTCAGTGTCCTTTAGCTTTCACAAGTGGAGCAGTACGGCTATCGCCATAGTGTTCCACTTGATTTATGCATATAAATAGCTTTATTATAATTCATGCAGGGAGTATTAAAGATTTTATGGACACTGCAATGTAAGTGGAATAGGTAAGGAAATACAGGGGAAAAAAATACTTATCATATGCTTATTATTTCAAACTCCCAATGACATAGGAAAAAAGGTACTAGATGCAGGAAGAGATTACAACCGTAACATCAGGACCACTAGATTTGTCAAGAGTGAATAAAAAAATTATAACCTATTTAAGAAGTGGGTTTGTCATAGACTGTGATGCAGGCAGAAGGTTTTTGTGTAAGTTCCTCAATCAATCAATCAATCAATCAATCAATCAATCAATCAATCAATCAATCAATCAATCAATCTGTATTTGCGGAGCCCTTTTCATGCAACCAAGTGTAACACAATTTTACAGAGGTAAAAACACAAAGAAAGACATTTTTCCCCTTGAAACACAATATTTAATCATCAAAATTTTCAACTTAAGTACGGTAAACAGACAAAAAAGAAATTGATTTGTTAAGGGTAATTTAGCTTTTAGGGCTTATGTCTCCTGAGAAGTGTCATGACTGTACAAAAAAAGATGCACACAATTATCGTTTATACAGGTTACTTTTTTTCAGAACATCCCAAAATCTGTTTATAAATAGAAGTATAGCAAATAATATCCCCATTAAAGTTTCTAAGATAAACATGACACCCCGAACCTTCAGTGAATCAAACTAATTTAAACCTGATCTGAATTAAAAGCAGTCGCTGCCTTGTCTCCAGGCTGCCATGAAACTTCTCCGCTCTGCCTCTTTTATGACCTCCAGTGTAATTAACAGTTGCAAAACATTAGGGCTTGTGTTGCTTCACATGTAGTCAATCAAGTCAATGTTTTGTTGGTGCTGAGTGGTGTGTGTCTTCGTTGGTGACAAATGAGAGCAGCCCGTCCGACTGCTGACAGCCGCCCCAGAGCTGCGATGCTATCTTCAGCTCTTCTCTCCGCTTCTACAATTACTGCTGCTTCTGTGGCCCCCGGGGGCCTCTGACACCATCCTGGTCTCTTTGGACACTCCATCAATACATGCGCGAATACATTACACATGTGGGTCCGTTTATAAAAATCTCATGCATGCACATTTTAGCGAGTGTCTTCATTCTTGTATAGATAAAATACATTTCTGAGTGCATTTTTAATGCACTGATTGCTGTACAAACGCATGAGAAATATCCTCTGGATGGACTTTTCTTTGTATCAAATATGTTATAAATTCAGCTGATTCCTAATTTTAAGAAAATAGATATTCTCCACAGATAGTTATGAACCAAAATGATGAAAAAAAACTTTTTTTTTTGCGAAAGGGTGCAAAATATGTATCGCATATAAATTAAAACCATTTCTTTTTTGTTTCTATTTCCTTCGGTTCAATCAATCTTAGGCTTACAGCAACACACTGGAACATTTGACTGGGATTTGACCCTAAACCGATACCTTTTCCTCCCCACACACCTGGTTATTTTATCTCTCTCTGCACCCATTGTTGCTCTAATTGAGTATGGCTTGGATGGGTGGATGGCGGCTGACCCCGGTCAGAACAATGCATACCTGTGGCTCTCACCAGCGCCATGTGTAATTGTCTCTTCAAGTGGAGGCCCCCTTTTTTTTAGTTGCCCCCTAAGGGGGGGAGAATGCTCCACACTCATCCATCACTCAGTCACTCAGCCACTACAGGAAGTAGTTAACACAAGCAACCTCTGGGACAGCAGCTTGTAAAGGGTGGGGAGGTGAGGTTTCAGACAGTCATAGAGAATATTGGCCATCATGTCTTTCACTGGGAGAGGTCTGTGAATATGTCTGTTTATTAGTCTGTTGCCAGAAGCAAATTGTTGAAGGAAATAAGAAGATACAATGAAAAAGACATGAGTTATAACCCACAGAAATAAAAGAAGAAATTTGGTTTGCCTCTAAATCTGGAATTCTCACTTAGGAAGTAGGGAGGCTGCTAATCATCTCCCCAGCTGCCTTGTAAAGACTAAATGTTAAGTGCTGCAATATTAAAGTTTTTATTTGCTTGTATTTTATTAAATATATACCACATGTTCTTCTCTCAGGATGTACTAATTGCGAAAGTATTCACACCTCAGAACTTTTATACATTTGTTCATGCTAGAATAGACCAACATAAAGTAATGTGAAATTAACATGTATCAAGCCTCCTTTACTGCAACCCCTAAATAACAGACAGAGCACAAGTTCCCTTCAGGAAACATCTAAAAAGTAAATATAGATCATAGGCGTGCATTGGTCTATATAAACAAGGGTTCTCCAGAGGTTTGTTTGAGAACATTACATAAAAAAAAATAAATAATGCACCAACAAAAAACAGCAAACAGGTTGTGGATAAAGCTGTGAAGACATTTGAAGCTGCATTAAATGTCTCAGCGAACAATCAAAATCAAGAGTATAAGATTATGGGAATAGAGGTAGGTAGTAATTAGTTACATTTTCTTAGTTACATTTACTTAAGTAAAAAAAAAAAAAAAAAAAAAGCATTACTTTTAAGAACAGGTTTAGTGTGCCGTACTTCTTACTTTTACTTCTTACTTTAATCCTACTTGAGTAGAATCATTGAATACTCAGTAAGTAATTTGTACCATTCCCAAATCAGGTAAATATACAGTGAACAGTAGAGTAGAAGTAGGATAATCTGTCTTAACATACAGTTTTCATTGCAAGGATTGGTTTCTAAGTTTATTTTTGGAAAAAAAAATGGGTAAAAATATTTGTTTTGCACGAATATGTTCTTTTATATTTATGACATTTATTTCTATTCTTTCTTCATTTGAGTCTTTAAAATACCAGAACTTAGACATAAAGTTTGTTTTTTTCATTATTTCTAAGCAATAAATCTGATGTTTGAATCCAACAATTACTCAGTACTTTAGTAGCCTTTTTACCTAATACTTTTTTTAATTTTACTTGAGTAAAAAAAATGTTAAATGTTAACTTAAGTACACTTTTTGAGTACTCTACCCACCTATGGATGGCAAACCTACAAAGAAATGAAATGTATCATATATCAGAGAAGCAGCTTTCAGACACGTTAGCTCAGGAGAAGCTACACTGATCCACAGCGGGGATGAGAGCCTCTATGAACAGAATCACTTCTCTCATTCTAGCCTTAATAAAGAAGTTGACAGATGAAAGTCATTATTATACAAATAATGTAAAGAATTCAATTTAAATGAGATTAGATTAAAATTTTACTCTTTGACCAACATGTAAAACACTATGAGTGGCATTTTGGCACACCAACACTGCACACTTTATTCCCGAGTTGAAATATTGTGGGGAAAGTATCATGCAAAATGGATTTATTTAAAGATAGGGGATCTGGTCAGAGAGGACAGGAAAGCATAAGAATTTTGTTTTTAGAAGAAAACCTGCACCAAAGATTAAATTAATAAGTTTAAGATCAAAAGGTTTATGTGTTAAAATGGCTCAGTCAAATTCCACAATAAGCTTATTGATAAATATCATCGGTAAGGCTTGACAACAGAAGCTTAACTTGTGGCTTTTCATCTTTTTTTGCATAAAACATTATTTTTGCATACATTTTTATTGTTTTTTTTTTTTTTTTTTATTACATGATCTTAACTACAAAGCCGATAGAGATTTACTCAAAATGACATGAAGCTGATTCATGTCAGATTCAGAATCTTGACCATTAGAGTCAATTCACAAGAGTCATACAATCCTGGTACTTTGGAGATAGACATACAAGGGAAATGCTATCATTGAGGATTAAATGCAGTGCAATTAAAATGTTACACTTGTGTGTGCTTTATCGAGCAGAATTAGAAAAAAAAAAGAGACAGACCAAGGCCGCTGGATAAAACACATTTCTTTATTTACTGCCATTCCTACTGCTTCAGACATACAAGCCGAGGCGCCGGGAGCACAGAGTGATTCAAAGAAGTCAACACTGCTGCTGTTCTACAAACAAATCTCCCTGACAATAAGAAACAACAAAAAGCACAGAAAGAAGAAGTAAGAAGAACAGCGTTTGGCAACCATTAAAATCTTTGAAAAAACCTTGGAAGTAAAAAAAAGGAGTGCATTCCACATTCTTAATAGCAAATAGCATCTCAACTTCATCATGAACTAGACAGAGAGAAAAATCAAACTAGCAGAGCTGCTAAACCACTTTGACGTCGGCCCTCTTCCTCAACCCGCTTTTTTTTTGCAGCTTTTCTGAAAGTGGATTTTGTCAGAAGCTCCGGATCTTTCCCTCGCTCTCTCGGATGGCCCGCAGCATTACAGGGGAACGTGGTGCTCTACACGCTTTAAGAGTAATTAAAAGCGACTGAACAGCTGTAATTATGAGAAACGGCGGTTGTGTTCCGGGTCATTCTATCAGCGCTGCCTTTCATCAGAGCAGAGGAAGAAGGGGGCTCTTCTGCAGCGCTCCGTTCCTTCGTCTTCGAGAACAAACAACTGGCAGGCGTCCTGCAGGGCTCACGCACGCTATCACATTCACACATGTGTGCCTTCATGTAGGCAAATGGGGGAGAGAGGGTGCACAAAAACAACACATACAAGCAAACGGCCGACCACATGTATAGTGGCGTTGGTAAACGAACACAGACAGACAAACAGGCACATTCGAAAAGCAAAATGGCACAAGCACGCCACTGCACCACAAACACGACACGTTCTTCATGTTTTCCACCCGATGACATTCAGAACTTTCTTATCGTAGTCTCTCTTTGGTCTCTGCAGGCTTATTCCACTTCTGAACACACTAAAACACTACGAATAAGTAAAGAATGCAATACCATGAGAGAAAAATGAGTTTTCTTACCAATCTATACCATATCATAATACTGTGAGACAAGCAGAAAGCATATATGTATGTACGGTACTGGGGCTACTGAGAATCAGTCAGTCCATTAATAAAAGCAGGTATGGATTACATGAGATTAAGCAACAGAGTACACAGAAATAAATAGTTATACAATGTATGCTAACACTTAAATGCAGGTTCCACTTATGTTTTGTTAGACTGTTGTGTCACTAGTAGTTTGCTGCTAAGCTCTGTGTTGTTAGCATGTTGCTAAAGCGCTATTCTGAATACAATGTGGTGCTCTGATTCCTGCTTCCTGACAAATCCAAGATAGAGTAACTGAAATGTAGATACTGGCTGGGATAGCAGTGGGTGAAGCAGTGGGGAAGGGTGTAGATGCTCCAATCAGAACACATCCAACCATTATGGGACCACAACAAATGGAACATCCGTTGTCAGTCTCATCAAGCTGATGTGGGGACCATTCAGAGAAGCTGGTGGGTTGATTTTTTTCATCCTTGGTTCCTTTATCAGACCTTTACATCCTGATGGAGCAGAATCAAACATATACAAATAGAAACATCAAAAAGGTTGATTATTTTCCAGTATTAACTAATGTTGAATGTTGAGGATAAGCTGATTTTTTAAACACTCAATTGGGGTTTCGAACTAGAGTAGTTGGATACTAATTTCAAAGAAGAATTTTCAAGTGTTCAGTCCCAAGGGTGAGCAAAGAGCCATACCAAAAAGGCATTGCAGCTTTAATAACAGAAAAAAGTAGAGATAGAAATACAAATACATCATATTTTAAATGTTTAATAATAAAAGATAAAACTTTAAAATTCACATATCATTTGACGGTAACATAAAATTGAATCATTTTGGTTTACAGTTTCTGGTTATTTAAGACATTTCATTTCAGCTGGTTCTAGGTACATTAGCAGAACTAAAATGTTGACTCTTAAAAACACATTTATTTTTGCTCTCTGAAGAACAACAGACATGCATGTTTAGCTAAAGCTGAATCCAAGGTCAAAAGGTCAACTTAAAGTTTTAGGGCTGTAAGACTCTTTTCCACAGATTTGAATACTGATACACTGAAAAAAATAAGCCCTAAATATATATGATAATATTTTTTTCAAAATTTCCTTCGGTGTCTTCATAATGACCATAAATGGTCATTTGTGTTGCTTGTGCCCTGAGCAAGCCTCTCAGCTGTTCTTGCATGGTGTGCTACACATGTATTCAGTCTTGATTTCATGACTGACAGTTCACAAACTGCTCTAAAAATAACCTTTTCAGTTATTGTGTGTCAGCGTGCTGCATGTACTTACAAAAAAAACAAGGAATAATAATAATAGCTTAACTGGTGGAAGGGTTTTCTAATAAACAAGCTAAGCACTAAATGAATAGAAGCTGAACTGGTTTTAATACGCTGTCAATTGCTTGTGTCAGTAATCCCGATAAAGATGTGTGAAAAGCATTCAATATGTGATCACTGCTGCATATTATCAAACTGAAAACATTTATAACTCACTGCTATATGCTTTCCATTGGTTATATAACAAGAGTTTTTCATCCACTGCTTACTAAGCTTTATGATGACCGAAACTTTTAACCTACTAAAGAGAGAGGACTGCGAGAGAGTTAAAAAAGAAGAAATAACTCTTGTAATTGCAGCAAGTTAACCAAATATCTTTAATGAGTTAATCAAGAAGTTGGCTAAATGCTTTGAGGACTGTAACTGAAATGATTTGTTTAGGTGAGCATTCAGTATGATTGACATGGATTTAGCTTGTTGGATTAGAATATGTGGTAAAGAACCTCATCCTCATTGTCAGGAACGGTGGAGAATCTGTCATGCTGTGGGCCTGGTTATACTTGTTAAGCCTGGTTGGTATGATAAACTCTTTGACATACAACTGGATTTTAAATAAAAACAAATACTGGATATAAAAGGGTCCCCAAACCTAAATCTATATATAAACTAAACAAATAAAATTGTGTTAATTCCTAGAGAAGAACACGTAGATTAGGATCCAGGACTCTGGACGCACTAAAGGCAACTAAAAGCCGTATCAAAAGGCTGGAATTTTGTCATCTTGGTAATTTGATTTGCTGCTGCTGCTATTAAAGAGGATTTTAAGAATTATTACACATCAGTAAATCTCGATTAAATATAGATATTTCTTTTTAGTAAGGGTAAGTACATTTATTTTGGGCTCACCTCCACAGCAGTGACTCCACTCTGCTGATGATTTCAGCCAGATCAAAGGGCAGAGGCATGCCAGGGTCATCCACACCCCAGAAGGGTCGGTCCACTGGGGCCTCCTCAGGGGGTAACGTCTGGGCCAGACTCGAGTGGCACCTGAGGCGATAGGACACAGGAAACACACAAAGCCATTAACTCCTCCCTCCCATCAGAACTAATTGGTAGAAACACACATCAAGGCAAGTGACTCTGAAGACTTTCTGCTGATAAATTCAGCAACAATAAATCTGTTAGAGCCAGAGATAAATGGTTGTTTTATCTCTTTTGCAGTTAAGCAGCAGTTCAGTTTGTCTTTGTCTCTCTTGTATAAAAGAGACTGAAAAGCATTTTAGTTTCCTACACTTGTCTTGAACAGCTGAACTGTTTTTGGCAATACTGACACACTTTCAAGCCAGTTAAGCTTCCAGAACCAAATATAGCTGAGACAAATGGGAAAAGTGGTGTCAGAACATTTTTCGAAAACGATGAATAGCTGCGACAGCATGAAAGTGATGATAAGACATGATATCATACATCTTGATTAATGCCCAATTCATTTCACACACACAAAGAGCTCCCCTCAGCAGGATGCTTTCAGAAGAACATCACTCTCTGTTGCTGCAGTGAGAAACCCAGCCCATTCTTGTAACAGCAGGATTGTTGTGTGATTAATAATCAGAGGTCAGCTGTAATTTCTACAGTATGTTGAACCCCAAAAGACCTCAGACACATCTTTTGTCAGACCTGTGTAAATATTTACTGCTGTGACTCTGTTGTGCTCTCTGCTGTCACTGTAAATCTGCCCTCCCTCTGCCTCCTGACAGACGAGAGTGACCCCTGACCTAGAGGTGCAACAGGGAGGGGTTGGGGATGGCATTTTGTATGTTATGTGTGGAGAACGTGCTTCCTGAGCCACAAGGCCAGCTATATTCCCCACTCAGTCATCATGCCACCGTCTGTCATATCTACCCTATCCACACAACCCAACCACCAACACCACCTTGTGGCCACAGACTGAGGGGAGGGCAGGAAGGAGACCAAAGGAAAGATATGGGGGTCGGTTATAGATGGGAGAAGGGGATGTTAAAGTTGTTAGGGGACAGACGGGGGCTGCCACAATTTGTTGTAATATATTTTCTCCAGAGCCACTTAATGTTCAACTGGCTCTCAGCCTAAGTGCTGCATTTTTGGTGCGGTTAGCCCTTTAGAGGGCTGCCGCATTATGGTGGTGAGGAGCAGCATTAACATCCACTGTCCAATATATCTTTTGGCGTTCTGGATCAGGGCCTGATAATAGCATCTGTTAACATGCACTAAGTACCATTATGTAGCACATCACTTCATAAATAATACGATTAAGCGACCTTGGGGCTTTGCGACGAGCCGTGTGTTTAAATGTTCTCATCATTTATTTAGGTTGCGAATTAAAGGAAGCACCACTTCAGAGAGAGAGGATGAAGACACGGCTGGCATACAGATCGCTGCAATGTGTGAGCGGAAACTGACCTAGACAGCAGACGCATGCCGTGCAAATTCTGCTGACATCAGTTTATGGACACCACAGGCCAGGGGAAGCCATACTTTTGATTTGGTCTGATAAAGTATTCATGCAGCAGAGCTATGAAAGAACAGACTTTTCCTGCTGCCCTGAGTCATAATGAAAGGCTAAACAACTGGCCACCTTCAACAGAGCTGCTGCCTTTATTTGACAGGGGATCTAGCAACATTTGCACGCAAACAGAAGGCTTTTGCTTTACCAGAGATATAAAAGATATCGGGGCTGGAGGACTATCAAAGATAATATAGTGAAGGTAATTCAGCACACACTTTTACACAATCTACCACTGTTTCCTGAGTATGTCTCCTGACTACTAAAATGGAACCAAACAAAAAGTCAATACCGGGCGAGGTGCCTTAAGCTCTCCAGGGCTCTCACTAGATATTCCGTGTAAGTCACAGTGGCGTACAAACAAGGCCCATAGAAAGACTTTCCCATGGCAGAACAGTCCACCTTAAAGTTAAGGTCAAAGACAAAGAGGTGTGAGTGTGTGTTCTGTGGTGTTGGAAAGGGAGGGCTTTTAAAGGAGGTAGAGAATGTTTGTGAGTCCAGGCTGTTCCAATGGATTAACCCCAGACAGATATGGGCCTAACTATCCCATCTGGCGCTCGGTCAAGAGAGATTGGCAATACAATCACTCATTTCAATTTGCCCTGAAACCTTATAGCCTGGCAGGCCCTTGCTCAAATGGTATGCTAATGCGAAAGGTATCTAGGACTCTATCGCCTCTATTCCACAGAGGCCTGTACCTCTGTGCAGCACAGTGCACTTGAACTGCAGCAGGGGCAGCAGCTCCATGGCCCTCACTGCAATAAGGGCCCAAGCCCCCTTTGCGCTTAAACTAACCACTTTAGCTAAAGTGAGTGTTAATTATGGACAGGCAAAGCAGTCAATAAAAGGTTAATGTAAAAGTCAAAGGATAAATTCCTTTAAGCATTGCATCATTCCACCATCTCTGCGACCAACACACTGCTCACAGGTCTCCTAATCAATACGTTTTACTGTAATGCGCTCCCTATCGATTTCTTCCCCCTGCACTCCATGGTCTGAGCTCCATCACTTGGTTGAAGAAAGGAATAGAAGGAGAAAAGGGGAGAGAAAACCAAGTAAATAAAATGATTAACCTCAGTTTCCCTCTGTTGTTTCACTCTTGGAGTCTATCTGAAAGGCTTGTCATAAAAGCGCTGGGTGGTCCAATATCATCTCTGCCATCAGATCACAATTGTCAGCATCATCAGTCCACTCAATCTCTGATCAGTGTGTAATTGTGTGTAGCAGTACACTCAAGCAGGGTCATACATTAAAAGGCCTTACGCTTTTAACAGGGTGGAAATACACCTAATAGACAACATCAGCACTTCCGACTCAAGCAATTACACTGATAAATGCACAATTGTGTCACGCAAAGTGAAAAAGAACCAAGAGAATGTAGATAAGAGACAACACTTATTGCATTATTGCTACAGAAGGTCATTTGTAATCACAAGGGTCTACAGTGCATTGGCTGCCAGACACAGGATATCATCTTACAAAATACCAAACTGTTCTGTCTCAAAAGTTACGTTATTGAATGTTAGAGTAATGCTTACAGTATAGTGTTTTAGTGAGAAATGGGACAGTTATCTAAATAAAGGTAAAGCAAGGTTTTTAAAAGTCACAAATCAAACTCATTGCCAGTCCTACAGTTTAAAGTACGTTTAAGATGTTATAACATTCAAGAGTGAATAGAGATTCCAGAGTTACTTCACACTTCTCCTCCCTTATCTGTTTCAGCCCATTAGTAGTAACACCTACAACATTACAGTTGTCTGCAAGAACAAACGGTGACTGATTGGAAAGTAATGGGATGGAAACTAAAGGAGTGCAGGCGATTACTGTTACTAAATTCACGTTTATTTAGAAATATAGTTGCACGCATCTGACTTCATTTAGAAAGTTCTAAGCAGGTGTTTATGCTATATTCATCTTTAAATTTGTCAACACTTTGTGCAAAAAAATACTACAGATTTATTCTTTTTTTTTTTCTCCCCAAAACGATATAAGAGGATAATTTTATGATTCCTGATTCTTCATTTTATCTAACATTTTCACATGCACATAACAGACAGTGGCTAAGACAAATAAGTACAAGTCAATTACGCACTGGTTGAGAGGAGATTTAAGCAGAAATAACAATAATTGGATTTATATAGCTACATAAAATAACAACAATTGGGCAAAGGCTATAGGAAGACAGTTTATTTACAGGGAATGTTACTTTCATCCCGAGTAACAAATGAAAATGATTTTGGTCCATTTTACATTATATATCTGACTTATTTCTATTAAAAGATCTTAGCTTTACTATGTTTTCTAACTCTCAGTTTTTATCTAAAGATGAACTTTATACAATCTTGTAACTTATCCATTACATATTTGAGACAGGAACCTCATCCCACCATGATGGTGCAACCATTATAAGGTTTGGAAAATAATGCATCATAACTGCTATAATCTCCCTATGTACATTTTCATTTGCTTAAAATTAAGCAAAGTGTAATTTTTGCTTACCATGAGACTCTGACACCTCCCATACCTAATTTCTGTTTATGGAAAAAAAAAATTTTGAAAGGAAAATGTCAGATGTTACTGTTTTTGCAATTACACCTACCCGGGTGGCTTGTTAAGCACAGAGAACTTACTGTAATGAACAATAGCAAAAAGCTATATTAACATAGTGAACAAGGAATCATTTCAAAGGTATGTGTGTGTCCCTTCCCATAAACTTAACCACGCCAACAAAGAAAACTTCTATAAAGGTACAATGAACATCAATCAGTCAAAGATGTCACTTGTTGATCTGTACTACATGCCTGTGCTGATCAAGGGAGGTAAAATACCTCAGATCACCTGCTTCCTCATGCTCTGCTTATGTTTCATCTGACTAGAAATCTTGCACAGGTGTGGATTTTTATGGTTTTGGCAGGCTGAGTGCCTAAGAGCTGAAAATGCAATCAAACAAGTCATGAAAAAACAGGCATGTGTCTCATAAATCAGCCTTCCCCTGAAGCTAAGGCATGCTATCACACTTCAAGGTAAAAAGAAGAATGAAAGAAGAGTATTATCTATGTACTTTTGGTATGGATGCAACGTGTTTACAAAATTAGTGACTTAGCACACCTGCCTAATATATAAAGCAGTTACATTATTTAATGGGAGAAAGACAGACAGACAGCTTGATTGATTCTTATCAAAACACTAACCTTATTTTTTATTGCGCAAAATATAAGAAATACATACTGAGGGCCAAACTTGTGAACTTTTAAGCTTTGAACCTCGGCCTGCACCACCCAGGACTTAAATAAATTCATGTGAACCCTGACAGTTGCAATCATTAGAGCCCTTAGATCAACACACAACCCCTGAGGTTTCATTTATTAACACATTCGCCTCAAATATGAGGCAGTGCAGGATGTAATCCAGCCAGCAGAAACTAAAGCCTGAGCAAGGCCAAATTTTAACTGTTTCCTTAAGATCAAGCAAGTGCTATTGTGTCTGCAGATGGCTGCTGACTGTACAT